AACATATAACCACATGTATACTATTATATAACCAACATCGTATTATATTATTAAATGTTACATCAATTTGTCTTACCATCAACTCCCAAAAACAATTATTGGCTCTTTTGCTCTCCATACACCATATTTGTACCTTATCCATCACTTTCTTTTCCCTCTCTCCTCCTCCTCCCTACCTCCTTTCTTCCTCTGTCATCCATCTCTTCTCTACTTCCCTTTCCTCTCTCCTTCTCCTCTCACCCCCTTTCCACTCCTCATTTCTCTCCTTTTCTCCCCCCCCCCTTACCTCTCTCCTCTCCTCTGCACTCTTCATCTCATTTACTTTGTGTATTTCAGCCTCTGAGCAAGCTCCATTTTACATTGATGGTATTATAATTCCTTTTCAGTATACATATTTAATTTTAACATATATCCTCCTCCTCCTTTTTTTAAAAGAAAAAAAAAGTATACATATAGTAATTGTATTTTTGAAACACCCCTCACCCCCACCCTATTTTTGGCCAAGATGTGGGCCTGGTTACAATTCCCAGCTATTCTCATCATTATATTTATATAATTATGCATTGTTACATGCCCCAAATTTGTGATTCTGTCTTTATAATCTCAATAATTTCCCATTGTAAGTATATTTCATGTTTCCTCTCCATTTATTCACCTTTATTTGACAGGTTTGACACCACAGGGTGAGTTTCCTTCAGCCCTTAGAAAAAAAAACATTTTAATTACAAGTTTAAGGACTAAAACATTTTTAAATAAACTGCAAAAAGGCAATTAAAACTTATTTTGGAAAATTATAAATGGATTAAGGCTTCAGATAAATTGGATATAAAATTTTGGAATTTATAAAGACTTCTGTGGAAAAATGGTTTTTTTCCCAAAAATGATTTTAAAAATTGGACACTAGAGGGAACTGAAAATTACAATTAAAGGGGAACAACACATAAAATTGGCTTACAGTTGCAGAATGAAGCAAAACATTATAATATTGGATATATTGAAAGAGATTTTTGAACAATGAATTAAAAAGTTAATTTTTAGTGTCAAGAGAGACATCTGCCTTTATGTGGAGACTGCCTAAAAGAGGTTATGGAAAGGGGACATATTCCATCAGATAATGAGACTGAGGTAAAAGTGGATGTACAAGTGATAGGCTACAAGAATGACACAGAAATGATCATACAAAAATTTGCAGATATATTAATAATTAAAAGGGATATGCAAACAATAAACCAAAAGAGTGATAATTATATAATTTTCCTATATTGGATTTACAAAAGAGGTTTGTTAAAGTTTTGAAAAGTCTCCTGAGAAGGGACAAAGCAAAAAAGAAAATAAATCAAGTCAACAAATCTACAACACTTGAAGAGACAAGATCACGATACTTACAATAAAAAGAGGGACTGTAACATTGATTTATTTCAACAAGATTAACATAGATCTGTTGTAATCTCTGGTAGCCCTCAATGGACTTTGCTGACACCTGGCTGAACTGACAAAATTTTCTGGATGTATTTATAGATAGATGGAATCTGGGAAGAAAAGATGGTTTGTTGTCTTTTAAGAGGTGATAAATTACTAGATAGGAAATAATTTCTTTAAATATTTCATTTCTTTTTCTTTATTCTACTTTTCTTTCTCTTTCTCCTTTTTCTTTTCTCTCTGCACCTTTTTATTTTTATTCTTTTTTTCAGTTAGAATTAATTTTTACTGTTATAATTATAATATTTAATAAAATTGTTTTAAAAAGTCCCCATTGTAAGGCTGCAGCCTAATGATTTTGATGCTGAGGTTTCTGAGACCACTGCAGCTGGGAAAGATGAGCACCTCAACTCATGGCAGGTCTTGTCCCTGAAAACAGAAAAAGGGTTATTGGGGGAGTGGGTTGGATGTTTTTAGAAAAGTCCCACCCAGCCTTTTCTCCTGTTTGCAGTGCTCTGCCCTTGGCCTCCACCTGAACCTCCTGCTGGATCGCTCTCAGCAGTTCCAGGATATAGCAGAATCTCTCCGGTCGTGGCTGCAAGAGAGTGAAGAGGCTGTGACCCGCCTCCTGCTGGAGCCCATTTCCTCTGACCCAGACATTTTGCAAAGGCAGCTGGCTAACGCCAAAGTAAGCGAGCAAGCACATGTACTCCTTGTCTTTAACCTTTTGCAGACTTTTCATCTGTAGCGTCAGCTAGAAAAGGCTGGGCCACACCTATCCAATCCTGCATTTTTGTGTGGGGAGGGGAGGGGGGGTTAGGGGAAACCTTCTTTCAGGGGGAGCCTCAGTGGAACGAGGCCATCAATTGAGAATGGGAATCTCCCATTCCTGCCTTATATAATGGAGGGCTCCAGCATGGTTCCCAGGCAAAGGAAAAGCGGAAATGACCATGTCAGACCATACCTTTCTGATGGAGGTTCTACCTTGTTCTTGAGCCCCAGAACCTCTTTCTAAAGACATTGACTTCTTTAGTCCACTCCTAGTATTTCTTCGTGCTTTGATTCCTTTCTTCTTTTCCATTGCTTCTGACAGCACCTGCAGGAGGACCTTGCAGAGCATCAGGTGCCTGTAGAAAAGCTCGAAAAAGCTGCTCAGTCCCTCCTGGAAATACGGGAAACCCCAATTCCTGACCACAGAGGCATCCAGCAGACTACAGGTAAACCTGGGGGGGGGGNGGGCTGCATTCTTCAAGAGGCTATGACTGCACCACACTGTTGTTGTAAAAGAAAAGAGGAGCTCTGGATCAGTGGCAAAGCACCTCATAAATTGGGAAGGGTAACGGGCAAACCTTGGCCTCGCCTGAGCACTTCTCTGCTTTCAGATTCTTCCCACAAGCCATCAGGCCAGAGCTCCTTCTCTGCAGGGTCTTGCACAAAGAGTTCCCACCGACATGGAGCCCTGTCCGACCCAGGACGTTGCTCTAGCAGAGCCCTTGTCAGAAGGAAAGTGGTCTTGCCAGAAGGCAAGGAAGCCTTTTCCAATCCAGGTTGCCATGGAGAGCTTAATTCCCCAAGTTAGTCACGACCAGCTCTCCGTTGGGTTTCAGCCACCACAATGTAGCAGAGAAACTGCCGTTGGCTTCCCACTTGTGTGCCATCATGATAGTTGCTTCAGGTGATCCACGATGCTCACTTTGGGGTCCTCTGGGGAATGAGTGAAGAATGGGGAATCTGCTGTCCCACCACTGCTAAAGATTTGCAGCAGCAACACTCTTAGAAGAATGATTGGAAATCCTGGAAGAGCAATTGGTCTCCCTCTTTCCCGATTTTTTTACCTAAAACAAGGAACTAAGATGGGGTAGCTGAGGACCAGTAACTTTACTTTTGTGCCATCATCTTCTGTCCCCCCACTTTTTGTTTACCAGATTACATGTGTATTTTAGAGTTACAAAGAGAAAATGCATGCTAAGACTTCAGAAGCAACTGAACAAACTTTCTTGTGTAAAAACTTCTGCTGTGCCAGCCCAGGATCTTTATGGATCCTATATTTTGCAAAGCTCCATTGAGAGACTTTCAAAGGAAGAAATGGCAGACCAAAGACAGCTCCATGAAAAGCTGAGCCAATAATGGAGCTGTGGCAGAATAAAGAGCTGGCAGTAGAGCAGATCTTTATAGGTCTTCTCTGGACAAGGAGAGAATTTGAGATCACCTGTATGTGCTCCAGACCGCTATTCCTTGTGAGAGGACTGCAAGAGAGGGGCCTCGGGTTTAGAACTCTGGGAGATGAGAGAATAATCATTTTACACTGTCGGTGGCTTTGAAAGAACCAAGCTGGCTTACTTTTCTTTCTTTTCAAAAATTTTGTGTTAGCTGCTTTCCAGCTATTACACACCTTTATTTATTTTTTATTTTTTTTGTATAAAGTTTTTTATTTTTCATTTTCATAACATATAACCACATGTATACTATTATATAACCAACATCGTATTATATTATTAAATGTTACATCAATTNGCGGAGGATAGGTGTAACGTGGGTGTACCTAGGTACGCCCACTATCGCTCGCGCGGCTGCATTCTGGACTAACTGAAGTCTTTGAACACTCTTCAAGGGCAGCCCCATGTAGAGGTCTAAGGAAGACATTCCAAGCTGGCGCACTCCAGGTCGATTAGTCTGCAATTCAGCATGACCAATGGTGGAGGATGAGTGGGGGTGGGTGGGCATTAAAGTGAGGAAGGAAGCCTTGGGAGTATTTGTTCTCCAGGCCTTTTTCAAAGACAGTGTTGACATTTTTGGCCTTAAGCCCCTTCTGAGCCCTCCTGGGCAGTTTCTTGTCATGTTGGAGAGTCTTGAGAGCTCTGATTCCAGACCATTCGATTTCTTTGGCCATTTTAATTTCCCCCCGTCATTCATTTGATTCTTGCACAGATTCCATTATGAGCCGATTCCAGAGCCTTTCGTGTCGGATGGCTGAGCGCGCGGATCTTTTGCAGAAGTCCATTGCTCAATCTCAGAGTGTCCAAGAGGCTTTGGAGAGCCTCCTTCAGTCCATGGCTGAGATTGAGGAAACTCTCAAACAGGAGGATGTGTCTGCATTCTCCTCCATTTCCATCCAGGAGGCCCTTGCTACAAACACAGTAAGAGATTTCACTTAGATTTCCGACTGGAGTCTTGTTCCAGAATTTTAAAAAGATGGGGATTTTTTGAATACCAAAAATGTCTCTGAACAATCTGGAGTTTCCTTGTTTTTATAATTATTAATTTTACCCAAATTCAATTTTGAAAATGATTGAACCATAAATGTTGCTTTCAGTACAAAGGTTTTCTGTATGACACCTGATGAGTGATAAAAGCTACACCTTGAGTATGTGCAGAGGGTTATTTCAGTTGGTGGACAGCCATAATTAACAGCCTGAGCATCTGAGATCAAATTGGAGATCCTTTTGAATGTAGAATATTGAACATGTTGCTATGTAGGAGTAAATTGGGACACTTCTCACACTAACTCTCCAGAAAGGAGTGATGAATAAAATAATAGCTTCCAAAGTTCATTAGACATTAAGCAGAGTTCTTTCCTGCAGGGAGAGCTGGAATCTGGAATGATTCCAATCTTCTGGGTTGTTTCTATCCAGTCTTCAATCTCAGAGAACCTGAATCTTTTCCAACTGCAAGGAGGAACCAGACAGGCTCTTAGCATTGAGCTGAGCCCTGAAGGAGTTAATGGGGAAAGGCTACAGAAACTTTTAAAAAGGCCTCTGTCCAAGCAAAAGCAGGTTGCCCGATGCTGTTCGGCTGCAACTGCACTGCTGTAACAAAAAGGGATAAAAAACATACATATCACACCCTGGATTTCCTTTGATTTGTAAGATAGCTTCAGTTCTACCATCTTAAAGGAAAGGTTAGTTTAGAATCCAGCTCTGATGTAAGGTTTGTCCAGTGGGAGAGCACATCCCTTCCAGATCACCAGCAGACCAGACTTCATGTGACTACCTCTAGTTAGTCGTGCTTCTGTACTTTGTGGCCCTTGAGTCTCAGTGGGTTGATGGAGCTGAATGAAACTCCGTAGTGGAGTGAGCTTTGGCTAATGGGAGAATCTGCACTGTTTCCATTGGTGCACCGTGTTTTCCTCTTCATTGAGGTGAGCTGGGCTAGGCTGCAAGGTTGGGTTTGTCTCATGGAGCTCTTTGGCTTTATGGAATCTCTGAACCTGAAGCAGCAACTCTGGCAGAGACTTCCAAACATGGAGAAAGGCTTCTTTCTTGTGAGAAGCTTAGTTCCTGGGCTCATGTGGCAGCAAACAGCTCTTCTGTTTCTGGGTATATGTACAATATATATCCTTCCTGTTGCAGAAGCTCAAACAAGACATTGCCAGGCAAAAGAGCAGTTTGGAAGCCACTCGTGAAATGGTGACCCAGTTTATGGAAACCGCTGACAGCACCGCTGCTGCCGCCCTCCAAAGCAAGCTGGCAGAGGTGAGCCAGCACTTCAGCCACCTGTGGCAGCAACAGCAAGAGAAGGAGGACACCTGGAAGAAGGTCCTCCCCCAGGTGGAACAGTACGAGCAGCTCTCAGAGAAGCTGAAGCAATTCATGGAGATCCGAGGTCGGATGCTGGCCTTGGGAAACCAACCTGAGCGGGACATTACTCACTTCGCCCAGCAGATCCAGGTGAGAAGCTGCTGAGCAAGGGTTGGGCAAGGCTCAGGATTGGAGGACGCCTGGTTTCTGGTCCCTGCGCTTGGTTCTGGTATCTCCAGAAAGAGACCTTTGCCCAGGGCAGCCCCACATCAGCTCTGCTGATAGGTTAGTGTTGGGGTTTTATTAGAGCTGGCAAGCTCAAACTAGGGGAAAAAAAGGGAAGAGAGTAGCAAAAATCCCCCTAATGAGCTATGCAAACTGAATAAATGAATAAATGTATGCACCACACTCCCTTTGGGAATGGGCTTGGACTGCTGCTCCTTACCCTAGAAGTTCCTGCAAAGGGAGGGGGTCTCCCTTCTGGGATGCCTACAAGTCCCTGGGAGCACTTTGGCTGCAGGGTTTTGTTTCCTGGCTCTTGTCCACCTTCTGGTCGTTCTGCTTGTGGAGATGAGATGCAGGAGATTTCCAGTGAAGCCGAGGAGATGAGAGTGGGCCGAAAAGAATTCTTGCAAGTCAGGAAACCAAAGCTCTGGGCCTTGCGCAGTTGCACAATTGGGATTGTACATTTTCATATTCTTCTTCAGGACAGGCTTTGCCCACAGAAATTTGGGGGTCATCTATCCATAATTGTAATTTTAAAGTTCAAATTCATATAAAAGGATGATCAAGAATGACCTTGTCAGTAATCCCATGAAACAGGGCAGCAGCCTAAGGGTGTTTCAGGGAGATGCTCTGCAACCTCTTTGGGGACTGAATCCAAGGTGTTTCACAGCACTAACCTACTTGCCTTTGGAGACCTGTCCAGTCTGTTCTAATTACCCTGACATGACTTGTATGCAGGGATTACTATTGCTATCCATCAGGACTTCCAGGGATCAGGGGGATCTCACAGGCTGCTCCTTGTGGCGAAATCATTTACTCTTTGGACCAAGTCATAGATGGTCTTCGCTTCAACCATATCTGTCCTGTGTCTCCCCGCACCCCTGTTTCCTGATGCTTCCAGGAACTGAATTCAGAGATGAAGCTGTGCCATGAGGATCTGGACAAACTGGAACAATTAACCACAGAGTTAAGCTCTGGTGGGTTGGTGTGGACTGGCTTCTCCTCACACCAAGAGAAGGTGCGCAGTTTGCGGAAAGAGTTCACTCAGATGCAGAAAGCCACAAAGGAAAGGTGAGAAGGGATTCTCCCAGACAGAGGACTGGTGGGAGCCTGGCAGAGGAAATTTGTGAGGGATTAAATTCTTTGACTGCGTCCAGATCGCTTTGGACTGGGAAAAGGTTGGAGGCAGAAAAATGAAGGCTATGAGGAATCTCTGCTGCTATAGTTTGTAATCTTTTTCAAGTTTTCTCACTGGTAAAATGTTTTGCAGGGGTTTGAATTGTTAGAAGACTAAAAGAGCTTTTTGACCAAAGGAGACACATGAATAAAATGCATGCTTCTACAAAAGTAAAGCATTTCCCAAAGTATTCCCAGCTTTTACAGAAAGATTTCCCTTCTCCAGACTAGACTGGACTGGACTGGACTAGAATAGAAGAGAAGAGAATAAGCGGAAGGGACCTTGGAGGTCTTCTAGTAGTCTAACCGCTGCTCAGGCAAGAAACCCTATACCCATGATGGCGAACCTATGGCAGGCATGCCAGAGATGGCACACAGAGCCCTCTCTGTGGGCACATACGCATTTGCCAACTGCTCTTCTGGTTTCCGGTGCGCTGGTCTTCATGGATGCCGGAGTGCCAAAAGGTGGTGTGAAAAACGCCCCCCAAATGCCCCCAAAACAGGCATGTGCACTCTGGCCAGCTGGTCTTCGGGTTTCCGGTGCTCTGCGGAGGTGAGCTGGCCGGTGCACATGCACACGCTGGAAACCTGAAGACCAGTTGGCGACACGCACGTGCACATTTTCTTCTTGTTTCTGGTGCTCCGGTGCATGTACATGCATGCACACGCATTCCGGTTTGGGCACTCGGTGCCAAAAAGGTTCACCATCACTGCCCTATACCATTTCAGACAAATAATCTCCTCCTCTCCAGAATATTGTTTTTGAAGTTAGGGTCAGGAAGTTTCCTGCCCATATTGTGGGCAACTAGGAAAAAAAAAACTGTGGGTTAACTATGGAATAAGAATAGAAGTGGTGCCTGGGAGGCTATTTAAGTTCAGCAAAGAGAACTAAAGCCCTTTCTTTAGCTATCTGAAGGTCCAGAGATCTTTATCTTAGGATAAGTGTGAACAAAGCCCTAAAACAATTCAATGCTATCTTATACCCAGACAATCGGTTAGCTTAATGACTGCAGTGTTCATTTTACAGCTGCTACATCTGCTTAAGAACTGCCACAAAAAGGTCATAAGATTGTGTCAGTCACATGGATGCCTTGATATATGACCATTGGGACATACAACAGAAATTCTGGGCTCCCCCCATAGTCATAAGTCCTGAATCCAAGAAAAAACGGCCTTATCTTCAGTCTCTCCCTATCCCCTCTTGAATTGTCTTCTGAAGTTTGAAAAACCTCTCCCAAACCATGCAGAGCCTGCCAATGTTCCCTCTAATTTCTTTTCAGTTTGTGCGGAAAAGTATAGTGTTTGAGAGGCACATTTTCATCTCTCAGCACCTGAATTTTTTTCACAGATGTTTCACAGAGCACTTGCTTTATAGGATCTGAATTGAAATGGAGAAAAATGGTTTTGTGCATGAGTGTGTGTGTGTGTGTGTGTNAGCCTGCAGTGCTGCATTTAACCACTGCGCCACCTCGGCTCTAAATGAAACAGTGGGTTTCACTTATTTTTATCACCGTGCGTGCTGATACTCGCTTCGTGCATGTTCATTCCGTTTATGCGCCTGGCCTTCCACGCATGCGTTTTGCTCATGCGCATGCCTTTCCCACATGCACCCAGCCTCAAAAGCTAAAATCGACAGCGCTGGTGCGGGAGGGGATGGGCCCACCTGTGATCTCCGCTACCGGTTCGCCCAAACGATACCGAACCGGCTGAAACCACCCCTGGTAGAAACTTTTGTGGCATCGAAGCAAATCATCATGGCTCCATGCCATGTTTTATGGGACAGGACCTTCTGTGGGGGAGGGTCTCCTCGGAAAGTCTGCAGGTAGTCCTCGACTTACAACCTTTCATTTAGGGGCTCTTCAAAGGCACGGGAGCGCTGGGGGAAAGTGACAATTTTTCACACTGACGACCGTCGTAGGCCATGTGATCAAAATTCGGACGTCTGGCCACTGGTTCCTGTTTATGACGGTCGCATGCGATCCCCTTTTGTGAGCTTCTGACGAGCAGTGTCAACAGGGAAGCCAGATTCGCTTAACAACCGTGTGACTCACTTAACCACGGTGGCAGGAAAGGGGTCGTAAAATGGGTCAAAACTCACTGAACGACTGAAACGTTGGGCTCAATTGTGTCATAAGTCGAGGGCTACCTGTGATTCCTAATTCCAGCAGGGAGGAGAGGGATGATCAGCGAGCCCCCCCCCCCAATCTTGCTCTGCCCCCCTCCTTCATTCTGCCCCTCCCATTTACCAGAGCTCAGATTTTTCCGCCGTCTGTTTTTTTCCTTCTTGGTTTTTCGGAAGATCCTCTTGAGGCACCGGAGCAGAGGGCCCCCGTTGTCCGACGGGATGTCGTCTTGCGAATCCTCCTGGCTCAGCTCCAGGCTGTTGGGGGAGAGGTCCGAATCTTCCCACCGGAAAGGGACCAACCCCTTCAGGAGATCATTGTCATCATCAAGGAAGTTGCAGAGATCCATTCTGCGGCGGAGCAAAAAGAACCCGGGGTGATTGAGGGACCTTCTGGAGATCCGCCACAAGAGGCCAATCCAGACTCCTCTAACCTGCTCTCTCTCCCCAGATCGGGCTGGGTTGCAACTCCCATCATCCACAACCAAGTGGGGTCAGGGACACTGCACTGGCTGAGGTTGATTGAACGGCAGCCTCCATCAAGGGGAGGGTTCCTAATTTCAGGGCGTGGGGTTGGTAAGCAATATATGAATATGTGTGTACAGCCCCCCACCTTTGTTAATGGGCCATTTAAAAAAAGCCTGAGCTAGTCTACATAACAAAGGTAGGATTAGCCTTCTACAGAAACCCACCACATGGCACCTGGGAATTCAACCAAGCTTGGGACTCAAAAAGTCCCAGGAGTGGGATAGAAGAAAGATGGGTAGAGAGGGCGGGAGAGAGGATGGGAGGGAGGGTGAGAAGGAAGGGAGGGAGTG